CCCCAAAACCCCAAAACCCCAAAACCCCAAAACCCCTTTGGATCGTTATTGAAAATATTTAAATACTTGCAAAATATAATTAAAATGAATTCAAAGGCGGTACCCTAAAATCAAAGATTATAGTAACCTGCTAAAAGAGCTCCTTCAGCAAACTAAAATAATAAAAATCCTAGTTAGACTTAATAAAGAAAGACTAATTTGAAGTCTGATGCAGCTTAAGATGCTAAGATTGAAGGAAATATGAATGCTTGGACAAATAGTTCAATTGATAATCAATCAGAGGAGAACCAAATGAAAAATTATAAAGGAAATGATTATACTTAAAATTAAAAAGAGGAATAGAATTCTAAGTATGATTTCAACTATCTAATGAGCATTGTGAATAAGGAAAATCAAAATTCTTAGTTCAATCCAGTAATGAAAATCTAGTAAAACGAGTATCAAAACGAAACCTAGGCAAGAATAATGCCTACTTCAAACAAAATTAAAACATAATAAGAGTAGAATTACAAAAGGAGTGGATAAAATACAAATATAAACAATTAATCATGCACAAGCGATATAATAAAAGCTAAATTTTAAAGTTTTGCAGATGAGGAAGAAGATGATGAAATTGACTCAAATAATGGAATTGATTATGAAGTAAAGAAAATTAGTACAGCAGAAGAAGAATTAATGAAAAGAGCAAGAGATTTAGAGAATGAAATGAGATAAATAAGGTAGGCTAAACTTGATGTGGTTGTGAAGCAATTTGAAGCTTAATTATTGAAAGATGGTGAATTGGAGGAAAAGAGATATACTGAGGAGTTGAGAGATAAGTATGAACTATAGGTAAATTAGATTGAAGCAGAGAAGCAAAGTTCAATGGATGATATTCAAAAAATGTAAAAGTAGCTCTTGGACTAAATTGAATTCTTTAAAGTCGTCTATAGTGAATTAGAATCAAAGAAAAGCGAGTTGAGCAGTACTCATCAAGCTTGTATTTAATATCTTAGAAGAGAAATGAGTTAAGCTTAATAAATTTAAAAAGAGAGACTGATGAAGCATATAAATGAGAAAAAGGAAATATTCAAAAATTATGTTCAGCAGTAGTAACAATATTGATTGATTTTAAAATCATAAGTATCAAGTGTAGTCTAATTAAATCTTAATTTGATTAATTATTAGCTTAATTACTGAGATTGTAAAAGAGAGTGTTATAAATTAATTTCTTAATTGAAGTATTATTAAGAATCACTAATTTAATTCAGAAATGTAAATGCTTAAAAGACTACTTCCTGGAGCTAGATCAGCGGGTAAAGGTATATTTAGTTTAAGATAATTATAATCAAGGACTTTAACAAACGAATGCTGTCATAAATTCTGAAAATACCTTTATGCAAGTTAATCCTGATGGAAGATTAATCCGAAAGCTTAAGGAGCCACTTTAGATTAGTTTGCTAGGAAAGGAGGAATTAGCTACTGATACTTTTGTTTATAGGTTTGAACTGCCAGACATATAGAAAACACTTGGGCATTCGACTTGCTAGTATTTGGAATTTGAGGCAGAAATCCTAAACAGAGAAACTAAACAAAAGGAGAAGTTTATGAGGTACTATCATCCAATGTCGAAGGTTATTGATGCAGGCTATGTAGATCTACTTATCAAGATTTATCTGAGAAACTTCAAGCACCCAACTGGGGGTCTCTTTTCTCAATATATTGATCAAATGACAGAAGGAAGCACTCTAAAAATCACAGGAATAGGTGGAGATATTGAATACCTGGGTCACTCTAATTTTCTTATCAGGTATGGAATATGCTATAAGTACAAACCTTGAAATTTATGATTTTCCATAATTCAACAGCATTTATTAATATCCTTACAGGAATAAAGAGACTTAGTAAATGGAAAAGAAAAGATTCAAAAATGTCGGAATGATTGCAGGAGGCAGTGGGATAACTCCTATGTTTTAGGTAATATATTTATTCATGATGTATTATATTTAGTTGGCTTAAACTGTGGCAGATTTGAAAGATGATTTTACAAGCCTATCTCTAATTTATTCCAACAGAACTCCTGTAATCTTAATCTCTTATTCATTTTTAGTACGATATCATTTTAGATGAAGATTTAACTGAGTATGAAAAGATAGGAAAACTCTATTATTTCCCAATAGTTTAAGCCCCAGATGAAAATTGGTAGCTAGGTTCAGGTAAAATAACCTCTGGGATGATAGAATCATTCATGCCTCCAAAGAGTAATAATTATCAATAATCTTTGAATTTACTTTCTAGATAGAGATGATTCAATAATATTAGTGTGTGGAAATTAAGTGCTAAAGGATGAAGTGGTACAAGTATTTAAGGAGATGGACTATAAAAACTATTTTGTGTTTTAGTGAGAATTATTCGAGGAATTCAGAGCAAATATAAATATTGATTAATGAATACAAATTCTAATATCATTTTAACAGGAAATAATGAATAAGGGGTTTTGGGGTTTTGGGGTTTTGGGG